TCCCAGCCCCTCAGACTATGGACACGCACTCGGGAAAGCGAGAGAAACATTAGCACAGACACAAATCTGCCAAACGCCTAAAACACACCAAGCCAGATGCAGAGCCTCGTGGGGAAGGCTTGGCCCCGGGTGGGAGGCTGGCGCTGGGACCCTCAGCAGAAGAAAGGCGTGCGTGGAAGGGGGTGACGTAGGGACACCAATGGGTTATTTCACCTGCAGAAAGGGTGGCCGTCACTCCCTCTGCACCTGGTCATCGCAGGGGGCAGAGAAGCCTGGGGGCCAGGGCATGGGACCAAGCCCGGGCCTGTCCTTCAGGCGACCATGGCAGGTTGGCAAGAGGGGCCACCAGTAAAAGCAGATAACGGCACCAGTTCCAAAGGACTGGCCTTTCACATAGTGTCATCCTCGGACGCGGCAAGCACGTCTTTCGCCTCTCCAGCCCGGCACTCACGAGAGGTAGGTCTGGGGGTGCTGGGCAGGGCCCAGCGGTCCTCACTGGAGTCCGGCGCCTGGAGCACTGACCCGCTGACCGAGCCCCACCTCCCGCTCTGCTGAGTGAACTGCGGGCAGCTCCCAAGGAGAGTCGGCGGCCAGCTCCCGTTTCGACATTTTGTCCATAAACATGTCATGTAATACTTTTCACATGCCTGGCTGGGGACCAGTGCTCTACACCTACAATATTTCCTTCATTTAACACCTGAAAAGGAAGTGAGAATAGTTGATTCTTACAAACTCCTGCTGGTGTCCTTTAAGTGCGCAGAAACATCTAACCGTGCAGCCTAAAATCCTGTCTTCGACTATGGCAAGTGGAGTGCCCTGGACGGGTTGTGCTGCACAGCTGCTCCCACCCCTGGGAACCGGGTGACTGGTGCCCAGTGGTTCACAGCTCTCGGGCTCCCGGCCCTGTTGTCTGCACAGAAGCCGGGACAGTGACGCTGTCTGCACGTTCTCTATGGGCCGTGCAACGAGAGCAGCTGCTGGTCAGGAGACCGACGTGACCAGAGCACTCGGTCTCCCACCACCCACCGTCTGTGCGGGGTTTGCTTCCGTCTCAGCGAGGGTCATGTTGCCCTTTCAGACGCGAGATGAAAAGGCTGCAGCCTGTGGGGAACTTTCACTGCACGAACACCTCGCTTGGTCTTTACAGCAACCTGCAGAGGCGGCGCGATCGTGGAGATCAAGTGATGACGGGTACCGAAATCCTTTTACAAGTGCCTGGTACACAATGAGCGCTCAATAAATGTTCTCTTACAGCAATGTGAGCAGTACTGAGCCACATGAGTAGACGTGCTTAAACTCAGAATTATTCTCAGATGTGTCCAACACTAAGGAACGTCTCATGCCGCAGAGGGACACCAGCGTCTCTGGCACGGTACAGCGAGGAACACCAAACCCCACAAATAAGTTTCGTCCAATAAATCGTCACCTTTGACAGCCTCATGTTGGTAAATGGAAACATGAGTCTTAACTTTATCTTTTAAATTTTAAATTTAAAAACTCTAAATGTCACGGGCAGGAGGAAACGCAGGCAGGGAGGGGCCAGCCCGGCTTGCCCCGTCCTTACCGCCTCTCTCTCCTCCCCCCCAGCACGACCTCCTGCTGGTCCGAGCACCTCCCACCCCTGCCACGGCCACCAGCACCTGGCAACACTGCGGTGATTCCGTGCTCCCCCTCGAGCCTCCCAACAGAGCAGCCCAGTGACCTGGGGACGCAGGAACCAGGCTGCACTGCTCCCCTCGCACCGTGGCCTGCCAGTCGTGCTGGGCACAGGGACACTCCATCCCGCTCCACCTTCCCGCTCCTCCCTGGGCACCGGCCACGCTCTGTCAGGTGTCCTTCTGGCCCCAGTGCTGTCTGGTTTCACGTAGGTCAACCTCAATGTCGCCGCTTAGGTCTTTCCTGAACCGCCTTTTCCTGAACCACTGCACGGGGACACCCGGAAGCTGACGCCCCACGGCGCTTACCACCAAACTGTTGTGGAGGAGTTTCCTTCTCTGCTTTTCCGCTTGGTAGCGCGCTCTGATCTCCTGCAAGGACTGCTC